TGACACGAGCAACATTAATTGTGTTCCCATGCCTCGCTAATACACTGTGCCCACCCTCAGAAGTGTTTGTGAGATGATTTGTTCAACTAAATGACAGAATCCGCTTCAAACTGAAATGATGCTGCTTAAAAAAAAAAAAAAAAAAAAAAAAAAAAAAGATAGGCCTACAGCTTCGACCCCCTCCTCCTCTTCGCTTTTGCGCGTGCACGCCCCCTCATTTCCAGAACGATTCCTTGTTATGACATCCCGGTAAAAGACAGCCACAGAGGTCTCTCACCTCGACGCTAAATTCAATCTAATGAATGCAGACCCCAGCGCTCTTGTCGCTGAAAAGAGGCCAACAATTTAGCAATTTCTGCTGCTTGTGACAGGGCTCATGACTAATTCCCATATTTAAATGTGAACAGGCAAAGCTGGCCCATTTGACGGCAGCCAAGCGCATTTTATCAGGTCAGAAAGACATCAATGGCACCGGGGGTAGGAGGTGGCTGGAACTGTTTAACTGTGCAAAATTCAATCAAAAAGAGAATTTAGAAGGCTGTGAAAGTTTGGAAAGCGCCGCTGAAAACATACAGGCGGATACGCGAGTGTTTTTTCCTCAGCATTATTGTGTGTCTTGTCTCTTTATATCAGTTTACAAGAGTTAACACTTGAAAGCGCAGTTCTAAGTCAGCCCTGTTCATTATTTGTCGACCTCTTGACATCGCAGGTGCAGATTCTCTCTCTCTCTCCCTCTAGCACTGGAGTGATTCAGTTCTGCATGAACAACATCAAACTGCAGCATGATACTGAGTAAAACGCACACTGAAGTAAACTTTAAAATGCTCATGTCTGTGAGGCCATATTGTGCTGGGAAAGATGTTTAGTTTCTGCACGCGCAAACTTGGATAAAAGAATGCCAAACAAAGATGCTCCTAAACTCAGATTTAATCAATTTTAGAATAAAAATGATGTACAGCCACCAAGATATCAAGACATAATTTATGCCTATTTGTTCTCAATCGCTTATTTCAGAGAGATATCATAGTGCAAAAGTAAAACCATGCGAGTTTCCACGGAGAAAAAAAGTGAGTTTAATTGCTGAAAAATTGACTATGGAAAAAAGCAAAAAACATTGAAATGTTTCTGTTTATCTGTAAACAAAACGCATCCAGAACCCGCCAGATTTCCAGAAGGAAAAGAGTCTCTTTAACATTTTTAAAGCATTTCACAGCTAAATAACTGATTATAATTCAAATTAAGAGTTCTGTTTCACTTCTTCACTTCATAAGATTTCGAGTCTCGTACAAAAAAAAAAAAAAAAATCTAGGCTATATATATTTTTTATACGAAGATAAACAAAAGTTGCTTGGGGATTAAATTTACATTTATTAACGCTATCATAGTATACTTTTTAATTATTATTATCGTATTATATTTAACTTCACCTATAGCTACGCTGTGCTTTAAGAGAAGGTCTGAGAAAATATCCAGTTTAAACCTCGTTTAAAGTTTGTAGACGCGCTGCGAGCCACGCGATTCCCAAGAAGCTCTCATTGAGAGGCCACGTGTCCGTTTCCAAAGCCTCTCCAACTTAACCACCTCCATTGTACGTCTAACCCAGATCGGCAGCGTCCCTCCACATAAAGGGATTTGCAATTTCAAGATATTCCAGCTTAAATGTTTTTGACAGTTCCCTCGCTTTTGCCTCAGCCTGCTTATTTTCACTGTGCCAAATGGGTCACCTTGGGTAGCTGTCTGCGCGCAAAGGGCTTTTGCGCGCATTCAGTCCGAATTTTTTCCAACTTTCCTTGACAGGGAAACCAGCTGCTGGTCGTGAAAAGACGGCTTATTAATTGTCCTTTGTCATGCAGAATTGCTTGATTTCTAAAGAAACATACAAAGGCTCTTTTTCAGGATTCAAGTATTTTGTTTCGTGCGCATTTTCAACTCATCGAATCAGCTGCAGCGCCTCACCGTCTACCAGACTCAGGTACTGACGGCCTGCCTCTTTTGTCCGCTTTTAATGCTCTTGTAAATCGGGCAGACTGATTTGTTACAAGCTGCTCTTTTAATCTGATAGATAAGAGACAAGTCTAAGAAAAGCCGTAAATGAAAAATTAGTTGGAAGAAAGACAAGGGCGAGTCTGCTAGATGGGGGTCTGTTGACTCAAGCGGCCCTCGAGCGTCAGGCAAGCCCCTCTCAGCAGCCCCTGTCAGGGTCACGTCAACAATTCGCCTTTCTTCCCCTAAAAAGACACTGTAGCCCTTTTTTTGCTTCAATGAATTGATCGGCGCAAAATTAAGAATAAATAAATTGAGAATTTTGAGCAGCATGGAGGCTTTAAACTCCCCCAGGGCGCACGTACCCCCGGGCTATTGAGCGGATAAAGGGCGCTTTCGCAGAGGACGCACGGTGCAAAATGAGACTGTATGGTGTAATTAACAAAATGGCCTAATCCTATATCTTCACAAATGCAAATATTAGAGTTTTGTTAAAAATGTTTAAGTGAACAATTAAAGGAGAGTTTCCAAAGAGCGATCCCGAACACACACAATGACTGGAATAATTTAGTAAATGTGCCCCGATCTTACCAGAGCCTTTTGTTGACACCGATAGCTGATGATAAATTCCCAGCAAAGGAAATAACATTTAAAACCAATTCAATTATTTAAATGAAGATTTAAAGCGCCATGGTATAATGGAGCAGGGCGCGTCGAGTCCAGCATCCAAGAAAACGCAATCTGAGCTCCGGTTCTGAGCTCATTCGTGGTGCGCGTGAACAAGATGAAAAATAGAAATGCATGGGAAATAGCCCTTTTTTACGTAGGCCTAAATAAAATAATGTGTGATTTATTTATTTATTTATTTTTATTTATTTATTTTTCACAGAACGCAAGCCTGCATGTCAGTCATGAATTATTAAGGATATTAGTTTCTGATGTCGACACGAACGATCATTATTTTTTTAAGCGAATTTTATTAAATACATAACCAATTATATTATAGTTATGAGTTTTGAAACGAAATGGGCGCAAACATAATCACCCTCACCCTCATCATCACCAAGTGTCCGCTTAGACCCCTTTAAATACATTTAAATACAAACATCGATTCATCTGTCTCGTTGACTCGCATATTTTATTCATTTGCGCATTATTGTCTGTGTATTAATACACTACTTTGGGTTTTATTAACCCGCTCTCACGAGACTGTTAAGAACCGTGCGCTAAAGGGCTCAGTGTTTAACGGAGAGGCCCCGCGCCTGGGGGACACCAGGCGCTTTCAGCTGCGTCCCCAGGGAATGCCACAGGGAACCCGATGAATGCGCGTCTCTTTGGACTTCTTGACGGAGATCGATCCCGATGCACTTGAGTTGTAAATAGAGGAGCGTGGTGATC